CTGGGAAACCCTTGAAGGAGGGAGACATGAGCCAAGTGTGGGAAAGGAAAACCTATTTAAAATTGGGACCGAGGCTGCCACGATAAAGAGGAAACGCCTTTCTTAGACATTCTCCAGAAAGGAAGAGAGAAGAGGGAAGCTTTATGAAGAGAGATGTAGAGAAAAAGGTTAAAACCAAAAGGAAATCCAAAATAGGGCATGATTTTGCACAATCAATCAAAACCAAGTCAAACCTGTTGTCACTGAGTCAATTCTGCCTCATGGTGACCCTGTAGAAGACGGTAGAACTGCCCCCAGTCTGTTTCCGAGGTTATCAATCTTTATCGAAGCAGAATGCCCTAACTCTCTCTTGTGGGGTGGCTGGTGGGTTTGAACTACTGACTTTATGGTTATCAGTCGAGCGTTTTCACTACTGTACCTCCCGGGCTCCTATGAGCAAACAGTAGATGTTTTGAATTGATTCTAGGGATGTTTATCTAGTGGTGACATTAGGGTTAATAGACTGAATAGTGAAGCAAATGGGATTCCAGCAGTACCCTTGGCTCCGTAGTAAACAGTAACGAAATCGTCTCACAAAATGTAAATGCTGGTAACACAAATGGTTTGCACTGGACAACTAACCCATAGGTTCGAGGTTCGAACCCTGCCGGCAGCATAGCCTATGAAGACCTGCTGATGTTCCTCTCTGTTCAGATGACAGCCAGGAAATTCCAGTGGAGCACAGCTCATCTCTGTAACCCATGGGGTCACTGGGAGATGAACTCCACTTGATGGCGGTGGGTTTGCTTTTTTTGGGGGGACCGTGTTCGCAGGATGAAGGATTGTTGTTTTTGTGACTCAGCATAAACAGATCTTACCAGCGGAGTCCTAAGAGGTATGGCGGATGGGGATAAGAAAGAAGTAGAAGGAAGAAACAGCGGAGGAAAAAAGGGAAGGTTGACTGATTTTCTTATTTCATATCTTCTGGGTGGCCACGCGCCACATAGGAACCGACTCACTGACAACTGTGTTTTGTCTGTTCGTTTTAGCATTACTTTGAGTCAAGAAAACAAGGGAGGAACCATCTACCCAGTGATGCTGTGGAGTGTTTCCGATTCACAGCAGCCCTCAAGGACAGCTTTCCAAGACTTAAGCTTTCCAAGACTGTCATCTTGACAGGAGCCAACAGTTTCTTCTTTCTCCCTCACAATGGCTGGAGGGTTTGAATTGCTGACTTTGCAGTTAGCAGCCCGATGCTTAACCCACGGTGCCACCAGCTCGTCTTAGGGATGCAGCTCAACACATCCTCCAATGCACAGCACTGTCCCCTCCACAAAGGATGACTCAGCCCAAATTGTGACTCAGGCAGAGGATGAGAAACGCTGCTAGATGCTGCACGGATACTGTTCTGAGTATTTTACTGACACCTCACAGCTCCCTGAGCAGAGCAGAGAGATATGATTAGCATCCCCACTTTGCAGATGAGAAATCTGAAGCTTAGTGGAATTAAGTAATGTGCCCACATTCACACAGCTAGCTCCTGATCAAGTTAAAATTGAAATCCTAGATCCAGAGGTTGCACTTGTCCAATGACAGGACATGCCCCTGTCCTCCTTGTCCATACCCAAGAACCCACAGAGTCCTTTAGAGTCAAGCTCTCTGCATCCTTCTGCCCCACTGCAAAACAGCATCTTCTCCTCCCTGGACCACAGCAGTGAGCTCTTAGAGGTCTCGTCTCTTTAATCCCCAACCCTCTCTTCTGCCAGAGTCACCTCAAAAACCCAAATCCCACCACATGTCTACCCCCTGCGTGAAGCCCTTGTCCCTCAAGGTAAAGACCAAACTCTTCAGCCGGGCTCCGAACTCTAGTTAGAAGCATCACTCTCTAGACCAGCCCGAGGAGCCCTGGCGATGCAGTCGTTAAGCACAGCTGCTTACTAAAAGCTCGGCTAGTTGAGCCTACCAGCCATTTCATAGGAGAAAGACGTGGCTTCTGTTCCTTAGCAGAAGGAAAGTTAGCTACTGTAAGGTTACAGCCTGGAAGCCCTATGAGGTAGTTCTTCTCTTAAAATATTGTTTGTTGCTGCTGCTAAGTGCCATCAAGTCAGTTCCAACTCACAATGACACTATTTAGCATTTCTGAGACTACAAATCTTTGCAAGAGCAGAAAGCCTCATCTTTCTCCCATAGAGAGATGGTGGAGCTTGAACTAACAGCTGGTAGGCTCAAACCATTGACCTTGTGGTTCACAGTCCAGTGCTTATCCTACAAAGCCACCATGATAGGGTGGTTAGGAGTCAAAGTTGTCTTGACAACACACAACAGCAATGACAATAGGCCTTCCCCAGACTCCCAAGCCCCTGCACTTCATGAAACACACTGAGCTGTGTCCTCGCGACGTCTACTCCACCCCGTAATCCCCGCCCCACCTTGCTCATTTCACCTGTGATCTTTCAATAATCAGTCCCAGTGTCACCTCCTCTAGGAAACCGTCTCTGAGTATTCTGTCCTCCCGACAGAAATGGCCACTAGCTTCTCGGTGACTTTTATTAAAATGCATCACAATCTGTCTGAGAACTCCCAGTAACACAAAAACCTCAAATCAAACCCATTACCATCGATTCTATTCCATCACATGGTGACCCCACATCTGTCAGAGTAGAACTGCATTCCACAGGGGAGTCCTGGTGTGGCGCTGTGGGCTAATGTGCCAGACTGCAAAGCCGTTTGAACTGCAAGGTCAGTGGTTCAAGCTCACCAGCTGCTCCTCTGAAACCCTATACAGGGTCGCTATGGATCGGAATTGACTCGACGGCACTTAACAACAACAATCTTAACACAAATAAATTGCCACACCTTCCATAACACCACTGGGTGGATTTGAACCACCAACCTTTCAGCTAGTAGCAAACCATCTGTACTACTCAGGGACCTTCAAACAAAGGCAAGAATTTCATAAGTCCTCTTTGCTCACTCCAGGGTAGCTTCCAGCTGCCCATCAACTTTATAAATAAAATGAATCCCTAGTTTTCAAATCTGTCCCTCAAGGGTAGGGACTGTGTGTCCTTTCTCTGATCTCTGAAGTCTGGCCAAGTAAGTATCAAAGCACCGAAAGATGAAATATCTTGTATGACTTGAATTCTTCCAGCAACAGAAGGCCACTGTCTGTGTGCACAGAAGGTCTAGTCTGCTGGACCCTGCCATTCTTGGAACGTTCTTACACAAAACGGAAGTCAGTTTCTTCATCCCTTCTACTCAGTGGTCTGGTTCTAGACCATAAGCTGCACCATAATTATCATATTATAATTCCTTACCCTAACGGAACACCTACAGTTTCTCTTCTCCTTAACGAGCAGGGCTTCAAGATCTCCCATGGTCCAATGATGTGTACTTAACTCCTGTTGTTGTTGTTAAGTGCCATTGAGTCGGTTCCTACTCATAGGGTTTCTGAGGAGCGACTGGCAAGCTTCAACCGCTTACCTTGTGTTTCAAACTGACCTTGAAGCTCAGCACATTAACCCATAGCACCACACTAGGGCTCCACTTATCTCCTAAGCAAATCCAAATCATGATAGGCCTAACTAGCAACATTTGAGGAGTATATGGAGATTCCTGAGACAGTGCTTAAAATCTACCTCAAATTTCATGTTCAAATGCCAAAAGGGTCCAGGAAAGTAACAAACATGAATGAAGCTGGTGGATACCAGAGAGTCGGTTTTCAATCCGAGCGACCCCACGTGGCACAGTAGAACTGCAATAGGGCTTTCTAGGTTGTAAAAGAGTTTTCTAGGCAACTGACTCGACGACACTAACAACAACTACAGTGTTCAAAGGAGGGTCCTGGAGTGGCGTTGTAGGATAAGCACTAGACTACAAGGTTGATTTGAACTGCAAGGTGGTGGTTCAAACCCACCAGCCACTCCTTGGAAACCCTATATAGGATTGCTATGCGCTGTAACTAACCTGATGGCACTTAACAACAACAACAACAATAACATTGACAGGAACAGAAGGCCAGAGTGTTCTCCCAGAGAGCTGATGGATTGGTTCGAACTGCCAACCTGTTGGTTAACAGCTGGGTGATCAATTGTCATGATGTCCCCTGGGCTCCTTATGAATGAAGCTGTTGTTATGAAGTGCTATTGAGTCAGTTCTGACTCACAGTGACCTTGTATGCATTTCTGAGAGTGGCTGGTGGGTTTGAACTGCCAGCCTTGTGGTTAGAAGTCCAGTGCTTATCCCACAGTGCAACACCAGGCCTCCATGAATAAAGTTGTTGTTGTTGTTAAGTGCTGTGGAGTTGGTTCCGACTCATAGCCACCCTGTATAGGGTTTCCGAGAAGCAGCTGGTAGGTTTGAACCACCGAACTTGCAGTTCTAACTGACCTTGCAGTCCAATGCATTAACCCACAGCACCACAACAGGATGACTTGAATAAAGTGTTAAGTGCTGTCGAGCTGGTTCCGACACATAGCCACCCTGTATAGGGTTTCCAAGAAGTGGCTGGTGAGTTTGAACCGCTGACCTTGCAGTCCACTGCATTAACCCACAGAAGTGATAAAACAGGGAGGGGAGAGGTTGTGGATGAACACAGTGTCTCTGCCTCTCACCTCCACATCTAGGAATGAGGCCCAAGGTGGTTAGCTCTTCAAATTTTTCAAGAAAAGCTAGAAAATTTACATTTTAATACAAATTTTCAATTACTGGTAACTTTTTTTTTTTTTTTAATCTCTGACAATGAGTGTTGAAATCCACCACAATTTGAGGCCAGCTGTGGCTGAGGGCTGTCCGTTTGTGTCCTTTGATTTAAATAATTGCTTGGGTGGTTCCTAAATTAAAGTTTATGTATTTAGTCTTAGAGATGTGCACAGATACATCGAAAGCTGTCGGCATACTGAGGCAGAATTTAAATGTGAAGTGATACTAAAATGCTAGGGTTAAAAAGAACGTGGAGGCATAGAGCACCATGGGAGGGTGACTGAAACACTCAGCAGGGCCCAAAAGCTGAGGCAAACACTCACCAGCCATCAAATCCATCTCCAGCATGGTCTGGAACAAACTAGGATGTTTGTCTTTCAGGTCCTTCTCCCAGGGAAAGGTTTTGCACGTCGAGGGGCTCTCGTACCTGTGTTTGAGATCCAGGTAGGTGTTCTGAAGCTCACCTACACAGAAAGGGAAACATGAAGTGGCTTTCGTTGTTGTGAACTGCCTTAAGTCAGTTCCCGATTAACGGCAACTGCATGCATAGCAGAAAAGCAAAACAAAATTGACCCTCATCAGTTGAAGACCAGACCTTTGGGTTCCATGTGTCTTTCACTAGCTGAGTTCCAGAAGGAGATCATCAGTGCTTACTTCCTAGTCTGTCCTAGTCTGGAAGCTCATCACCGCACCATGCAAACCTCTGCTGACAAATGGGTGGGAGCTGTACACGAGACGCATTGCCTGGGAACTAACTCTGAATCTCCCGCTTGGCTGCTAATGGAAAGGTTAGCAGTTTAAGTTTACCCAAAGGCACCTCAAAAAAAATATAAAGACAATGTCCTGGCAGTTTTCTTGTAAAACATCAGCTGTTGGAAATCCCATGGAGCACAGTTCTACTCTGACACACAGGGTTCCCATGAGCTGGGAGTTGGCTTATGGCAATGGGTTTTCTACAGCCTTTAGGAGAGTGAAAGCTGCTCCTCTTCAAACCCCTGCTTCCTAAGAGGAACGACAGTGAGATTTAACGTTGTTGCATGTTGGTTCGGATACGTTAGGAATTTGAAATTGGCCATGATGCCTTTGACTGGAGGTCACTCATTCAGAGCCAGATCCAAGGGAAACATGCCAGAGTAGCTGAGGGCTGTTGAATAATTCTACAGACTGAGCAGCTGGTCTCAGACCGGTCCCCAGGAGGCCAATATCTAGGCCGTGTTTTTGGCAGTGTGAGTGGAAGAGCAAAGTGCAAGATCCCTTAGGGAGGTAAGGCAAGAGAAGATGGGAGAAAAGTCTTCCTATTACCACCAAAGAGATCAGTGTGAAAGGTTGGCCTTCTGACTCAGCATAGCTCTTCTGGATTATTACATCAGTTACCAAAATCAGTTTCCATCCTGTCTGGGATACTGCTATTCCTATATATCTTCCTCCTTCTTCTGATAGCATCATATTTTCTGGATGATTCAGCGGCCACGGAAGCACCAGCTGGGGACCAGTGTGATCTATTCTTAAGCCGAATTGTGGAAATGTTACCTTTCCTTACTTGTCACCATCCCTTGTTGCTTATCTGGGGTCACTTTACATGGACCCCCATTAGACCAGGATGACGCAGTCATACCCCCACAGCTTGGAATGGGCAGCTGAGCTCTGGAGATGGGGAGGTGTGTGGGCAGAGCTAAAACAAACACTCACTTTGTCTTTGCTGATGGCAAAATGCCCCACAGGAATTTCTCTCCCTGAAGGAACAGAAGGGACTAAGTCCAGGGCCACCCTATCAAACAAGAGGTTCTACAGCACAGCTCACCCGATTCCTGTTAAGTTGATTGTTGTGTTGATTCTGACTCAGAGCGACCCTATAGGGCACAGTCAAGATGCCCCTTGAGGTTTCCAAGGCTGTAAATCTTTACAGACACAGATTGCCACCTCTTTCTACTGAGGAACACTTAGTGCATTCCAACTGTCAACTTTCAGGTTAGCAGCTGAGCGCTTTAAGCACTATGCCACCAGGACTCCTTCAATTGCACAGAGATATTTCTGAGTGCTAACACCACACTGGGATATTAGAAGACAAAGACAGGACAACATTTTATGTTTATAAACACCTGTATGGAAAGGTGGTAGCTCTTTCGGATAAGCAACCACAAAGTGTGCAGTTCAAGCCCACCAGCCGCTCTGAGGAAGAATGATGAGGCTTTCTGTTCCCGCAAAGATGTACAGCCTCGGAAACCCTATACAGAGTCACTATGAGTTGAAATGAAGTCGATGGCACTTAAAAACAACAATCACCTGTAACAGGTGAAAAGCTGTCTTTGAAACTATCAGCAAGCATGAAAGCAATCCATTTGAAATTCATTCCTCCTGAAAATGACCCAGGTCTGCCAGAATGAGCCAATCTCAAAGACTGAAAAAATAAAACTAAACCCCAAAGAACAAAGTACATTGCTCAATATTTCTAAAAGCTACTATTCCGGTATTAATGGCCCAAGACAAAAGTGCATCGAGGGGGAAATATTTCTAATGATTAATTTATTTTCCAATTCATTTCTATTTTCTTAGACTGGCCTGGCATTTGTATGGATGGGGAAAAATGCACGGTCAGGTTCAACATCTCCCATTCATTTGCACTGCACTTCTGGTAGAAGCTGTGAGGACAGTGGTGCTTTTTCTTGGAGGTGGCCGATCTGGGTGGAACCCAGGTGGAAATGGACTTTTATTTGCACCCACCTGTGGAGGAGTCCAGGTTACATGGGTCCCCTAGGAAAGCAGAGCCAGTCAAATAGAATCTATGCAAATCTTGTTAGAAGGAAGGCAAAGATGGGTCGAGACAAACGCTCAGCAGATACGTAATTGCTCTACGGAAGTTCCATACTTACATGTTCTTTCACTTCTGCCTCCTGGCTGTCCCATGGATGTAAACACAGACACGATTTCTTGAACCTCAGCACACCTTTCATAATATAATTTGATTTGTTCGGCAAGTTGCTTCTCGAGGAAGGGATTAAAAATCTATGAGAAGGCAAGATAATGGAATGAACAATCGTCACCAGACACCCAAGGATGGATGACTACAGGGATGTGCTCTGGTTGATTTCATGCCCCTGGTGACATCAGTGGTGGCTGGTTTGCACAAAAGGTGTTAACATTCAATCAAGGACATGCGGACTCGGATTGCTTCCCGAACTAACTTCCTTTCATGGCATCAACTCATGGCGACCCCATGTATCTCAAAGCATTACTGTGCTCCATTGTTTCTAATGGCTGTGACCACCAAGACTTCCTTCTGAGGAGCCGCTGGGTGGATTCAAACGTCCAACATTTAAGTTAGTAGCCAAGTGCTTAACCATCAGTGCCACTTAATGGCTCCACCTTGTCTGCAGAGGCCCTGAAGTGCTAGGAGTTCCAGGAGACCAGGCTCCCTGTCCCTTCTGCTCCCCTGCTGCGTCCTCACCCTGTAAACTCAGGTTTGTCTCTCCCTTCAATCTCACCAGGTTACAGGAGGTAAAGTCTGCCTGGCAATGCCTGCAGCCTTCTCTGATTTCTTTCTGCAGACTAGATTCATCTCCAAGTCACAGCCAAGGCCACAGCTTAAGGGCAGGCATACCCCAACGCCCACACCACCTTCGCTTTCTGACTCCGCAACACTGAGCTCAAATCTGAATCAAAGCATATACTGAAGCCAGAAAAGGAATACACAAGAAGGGAGCCTAGCTTAGCTCAGGGCTTATTAGCACACACCCTTTAGGGTGGGGAACGCCCAACCTTGGGCCGTATAAGGTTTGAAATCATTTGGTCTGGCCCTGCCAACACAACCACAGTTCCAGCCATCATATTGTTGTTAAGTGCTATCAAGTCGGCTCCAACCCATAGAGACCTGAGATAGGATTTTGGAGGAGCAGAAATTCTGATTCAAACCGACCTTTGCAATCCAGTGCACTATACCGCAGCACCAGGACACCAGTCAGGACACCAGGAGTCTACTGTTGTTTTTAAGTGCCGTTAAGTCGGTTCTGACCCATAGCAACCCTGTATAGGGTTGCCATGGAACAGCTGGTAAACTTGAGCTACTGGTCTTGCCATTCAAACTGACTTAGCAGTCCAGTGCATTAGCCCTCTTGCCACACCAGGATTCCATTGTTGTTGTTATATGCCGTGGAGTCAGTTCCGACTCATAGTGACCTTGCATATGGTTTCCGAGGCTGTAAATCTTTACGGGAGCAGAACGCCTCATCTTTCTCCCACAGAACGGCTGGTAGTATAGAACTGCCAACCTTAAGGTTAGTAGCCCGATTCATAACCACTCTGCTACCAGAGGAATACATTTGTTGTTGTCAGGTGCCATCGAGTCAGAACCGACTCATAGCGACCCCATGCACAGCAGAATGAAACAATGTCCGATCCTGGGCCACACCTGAGTCCATCAATGATGCCACCTGGTCAATCCATCTCGTTAGGGGTCTTCCTCTTTTTCTCTGACCCTCCACCTTACCCAGCATGACATCCTTCTCCAGCAACTGTTTCCTCCGGACAATATGTCCAAAGTATGAGAGACGAAGCTTAGCCATCCTGGCCTCCAAGGAGCACTCTGGCTGCACTTCTTCCAAAACAGATCTATTGGTTCTTTTGGCAGTCCACGGCACTTTCAGTATTCTCCTCCAACACCACAACTCAAAGGCATCAATTCTTCTACGATCCTCTTTATTCACTGTCCAGCTTTCACATCCATATGAGGCTATTGAAAACACAATGGCCTGGGTCAGGCACACCTTAGTCCTCAAGCTGACATCTCTGTTCTTCAATACTTTAAAAAGTTCCTGTGCAGCAGATTTGCCCAGTGCAATACGTCGTCTGATCTCTTGACTGCTACTTCCGCGAGTGTTGATAGTTGATCCAAGAAGAATGAAGTCCTTGACAACTTCAATCTTTTCTCCATTAGATGTTATAAATATTCAAATGGTCTTTGGCAAAAAAAAAAAAAAAAAAGTTTCCCCACTCCTGTTTTAGAGGGTCATGAAATTACTATAGTACCACACACACATACACACACACACACACACACACCCCTACATGTTGATAGGTGCCCTTGAGTAGGCTGTGGCTCAAAGTGATACAATTTGCAACAAAATGAAACACTGACAGGTCCTGTCCATCCTCACAATTGCAGTTACACTTGGACCCACTGCTGCTGCCACTGTGCCAATCCATCTCACTGGAGGTTTTCCTCTTTTTTTTGCTGACCCTCTACTTTACCAAGCATGATGTCTTTCTCTAGGAACTGGTCTTTCCTGAAAACATGTTCTAAGCATGAGAAATGAATTCTGGCCATCCTAGATTCTAAGGAGTATTCTGGTCATACTTCTTCCAACACAGGTTTGTTTGTTATTCTGGAAGTCCATGGTACTTTTAATATTCTTCACCAACACCATAACTCAAATGCATCAATTTTTCTATGGTTTTCCATTTCATTGTCCAACTTTCACATGCATATGAGGTTATTGAAAATATCATGACTTGGGTCAGACACACCTCAAACTGATTGACATCTTTTCTCTTGAACATTTAAAAAAAGTTCTTGTGCAATCCATACTAAAGGCTATGGTTTTTTATCTTCATCAGTAAGTATTTTAAGTCATCTTTGCTTCAGAAAACAAGGTTGTATCATCTGTATATTACAGGTTGTTAATGAGTATTCCTCTAATCCTGATGCCACATTCTTACTCATATAATCTAGTTTCTCAGATTATTTTCTTAGCATACAGATTGAATAAGTACAGTGAAAGAATACAACTCTGGCACACAACTTTCTTGATTTTAAACTCAGTATTCCCTTGTTCTAGTCTAACAACTGCCTCTTGGTCTATGTTCAGGTTCCTCATGAGCACAATGAAGTGTTCTGGAATACCCATTCTTCTCAATGTTATAGTAGCTTGTCATGATACACGCGGTTGTAAGCATGGTCAAGAAAGCATAAGTAAACATCTGGTATTCTCAGCTTTCAGCCAAGATCCATCTGATTCTAGCAATGATATACCTAATTCCACATCCTCTTCTGAATCTGGCTTGAACACTTGGTGGTTCCCTATCAATGTACTGTTGCAGTCATTTAAAAATTTTACTTGCATGTCATATTAATGATATTGTTCAATGATTTCTGCATTCTGTTGAAGTCATCTCTCTTTATGATGGGCACAAACATGGATCTCTTCCAATTGGTTGGCCAGATACCTGTCTTTTTCTTGGCACAGATGGGTGACTACCTCCAGTGCTGCGTCAGTTTGTTGAGAGATTTCAATTTGTATTCCATCAATTCCCAGAGTCTTGGTCTTTGCCAGCATCCTCAGTGCACCTTGGACTTCTTCCTTCAGTACCACTGGCTCTTGATCACATACTACCTCTTGAAATGACTGAATACCAACCATTTCTTTGTGGTACAGTGACTGCGTATTCCCCCAACTTAATTTTGATGTTTTCTGCATCATTCAATATTCTGCACATTGACTCCTTCAGTATTGCCAAGTTGAGGCTTGACTTTTTTCTACAGTTCCCTCAGTTTGAGAAATACTGAGCATGTTCTTCCCTTTTGCACATTTCATTATATTTGTCTTTGTCTTCTCAAACTGTCTTTTGAAATTTCTGTTTCGCTCTTAACTTCCTCATTTCTTTCATTCATTTTAGCATTTCTACTACAGAGTCTCTTCTGACATCCGTTTTGGTCTTTTTTTCTTTCCTGTCTTTTTAATGACCTTTTGTTTTCTTCCTGTATGATGTTGTTGATGTCATTCCACAATTCTGGTCCTCAATCACTAGTGTTGAATGTATAAAGTTTGTTCTGGAAGTGGTCTCTAAATTCAGGCGGGATATATTCAAGGTCATATTTTGGCTCTCATGGACTTCTTTCAGTTTTCTTCAAATTTAACCTGAATTTGTACATGAGAGATTGATGGTCTGTTTCACAGTCTGCCCCTAGCCTTGTTTTGGCTGAAGACATTGAGCTTTTCCAACATCTCTTTCCACAGATGTAGTCAATCTGATTCCTTTGTATTCCATCTGGTGAGATCCATGTGTATCGTTGTCTTTTATGTTGTTTAAAGAAGGTATTCACAATGAATAAGTCATTGGTCTTGCAAAATTTCTATCATGTGATCTCCAGCATCGTTTCTATCATCAAGGCCACATTTTCAAACTACTGATCCTTCCTCTTCATTTCCAACCTTTGCATTATTTATTTATAATTATCAATATATCTTGTGTGCATGTTTGATCAATTTCAGACTGAAGAAGTTGGTAGAATTCTTTAATTTCATCATCACTGGCTTTAGTGGTTGTTGCATAAATTTGAATAATAATAGTCTTAACTGGTCTTTCTTGTAAACATTATGGAAATTATCCTATCACAGACAACTTTGTACTTCAAGATAGAGCTTGAAATGTTCTTTTTGAAAATGAATGCGACACCATTCCTCTTGAATTTGTCATTCCCAGCACTGTATGATTTTCTGATTCAAAATTGCCAATACCAGTCCATTACAGCTCACTAATGCCTAGGGTATTGATTTTTATGTGTTCCATTTCATTTTTGACAACTTCCAATTTTCTTAGATTTATATTTCATACGTTCTATGTTACAACTATTAATGGATATTTGCAGCTGTTTCTCCTCAATTTAAGTTGTGCCTCATCAGCAAATGAAGGTCTCGAGAGCTTTACTCCATTCATATCATCACAGTCAACTCTGAGAAGCAGGCTCTTCGTTAGTCATACTTTGATTGCCTTTTTCATATATATATATACGTACTGGAGTCCAGACGTGGTACTGTAGGATAAGCACTGGACCACTAACTCCAAGGTCGGTGGTTCAAACCCACTAGCTGCTTTTTAAAAACACGATGTTGTTGTTGTTAAGTGCTGTCGAGTTCATTCCAACCCACAGCTACCCTGTATAGGGTTTCCAAGGAGTGACTGGCAGACTTGAACCGCCGACTTGCGATTCAAACTGACTTTGTAGTCCAGCATATTAACCCACAGCACCACATCGGGAAGCCTATATAGGGTTGTAATGAGTTGAAACCGACTGGAAGGCACTTAAATACAACAACATACACACATATACATATACATATCTATATATATACACACATATGGACTGATGTGGCACTGTGGGTTAATGTGCTGGACTGCAAAGTCAGTTTGAACTGCAAGGTCGGTGGTTCAAGCTCACCAGCCACTCCTCAGAAACCCTATATGAGATTGCTATGGGTTGGAACCGACTCGACAGCACACAACAACAGCAGACACACATACATATATATATAAAGTAAAACACAGAATATCAGAATGCAATGAACATAGCATTCTGTGTCTTTTCCATAAAGCATTAGTTACAGTTTTGTTTCATCCAGCATGTATGCATGTGTCTATTTCTCTATCCACAGATACCCACATACTAGTCAGGATAGAAAATACAATACTGATTGTGGACCACCATTGAGAAACAGTTTTGTGAGAGCCAGTGCCACATTTGTCTTGTCCCTTCAGCACTCAGCACAGACCCTGACACATAGTAGGTACTCAATAAGCATGCGTTCCACCAATGAGTAAGTGAATTTCACTGTCTCTTCCTTTTCATAGAGGCCTTTCAAGAGAGACTGTGAGATGTCACTTGTGTGCAGGGGGGCCCCACTTTTCCTCATTGTGGCTTTTGCCTACTGGCTCCTACTATTTCCCAGAGAAAACTCCACAGGGTCAGAAGAAATGAAAGAACGTTCTCCCTTCAGGTATCAGGTGGGGCTCCTGATGCCTTTTCCACCCTATGATACTGCCATTGAGGGATTCCGGCTCACGGAGACACTATAAGACAGAGTAGAACTGTGATTTAGGGCTTCCAAAACTGTCAAATCTTGATGGGAGCAGATGGCCTCATCTTTCTCTCATGGAGTGGCTGCTGGGTTTGAACCGCCAACCTGATGGTTAGCAGTCCAAAATTTACCCCACTGCGCTACAGAGAAAACAACCATTGTGAGGCTCCATCCTAGTGAAATCTCTGGCTCCCCGAGCAGCCCCAAGGCAGGTGGCCTGGAGAACTGCCGGGCTATTTCCTCCATGGTGGAGCTGGGGTTTTGGGCCACTGTGTGTCGTGACAATTCTAGACCCAAAGCCCTCTGTTATCTGTACAAGCGCAGCCAGCCCACCCCAGGGTGAGCCTTGGCCCGTTTCCAAAGAGATCAGTAATCAGAACTAAGGTTACAATTTGCGAGAGCATCGTCTCTTCTGATACTTTAAATAAAAAAGCAGCTTTACCAAATAATCGTGGATCTCGTCTTTCATTAGCGTAATCACTGGATAGGCAACAGCCTGATCAAAATCTACTCTATAATTAAGCTAGGAGTTATTAAAACAGAGGAAGCAAATGGGTTCCATTTTATGAGTACTAAATGAACCCAGTGTTAACAGAAATCTATTATCATGTTTTCTGGGGAAAAGCCTTAATATTAATTACGTTTGATGAGAGCTGATGCCTGCTCTGGCCTGGGTAAATCTTTTGTTTACTCGGGGTCACATGGCCCATCCCGAGGGTCCCCCAGACTCACCTGAGCAGGGTGCAGAGTTCGGAGACGGTAGTACTTCAAGGGTCCAAAGAACCCTTCCACACCAGCAACATATCTGCTGCCTCCAATGATGAAGTAACCTGCAGTGTCATTGTAATGGAAATCTTCTCGGAAGCTGGAGAAGAACACAAAGAGTCAGGGGGCTCCAACAAAGGGACCCCTACACTGACCCCAGAATTCCACAAGCCTTTCATTCTGGGTTCTAACAGATGCAACTACTGTGGGGTCAGGCAGACTTGAGCTAAGAACCTAATTGCAACTTACCGGTTATGTGACCAGTTAGTTACTCAACTTTTCTGAGATTGAGTTTTCTCATTTACAAAACAATAAAGAACAAAAAAGCAGTTGCAATTGAATTGATGCCAATTCTGGGTGACCCCAGGTGTGTCAGAGTAGAATTGCGTCCCACTGGGTTTTCAATAGCTGAATTTTCTGAAGTGGATCCTCAAGCCTTTCTTCCAAGGCCCCTCTGGGTGTACTTGAACCTTGACCCTTTCAGTAAACTGCCGAATATGTTAACTGTTTCCATTTCGCAGAGATGCCTATAAAATGACAATTCTTTATGCACAGGATTACGAAGAAGATCAAGTAGGATTCGAAGATGTCAGACATCTAGAGGAGTTTCTGGGTGGCACAAATGGCTAATATGCTCAAGTTGCTAACCAAAAGGTTGTAAGTTCAAGTCTACCCAGGAAAGCCTCAGAAGAAAGGACTAGTGATGTACTTCCAAAAGGTCAGTCTTGAAAACTCTTTGGAGCACAGCTGTACTCTGACCACAAGGAGTTGCCATGAGTAGAAATCTATGAGATGACAACCAATTTCATGGCATCTAAAAGTCCTGGTGTGGCGCTGTGGGCTAATGCACCAGACTGCAAAACCATTTGAACTGCAAGGTTGGTGGTTTAAGCTCACCAGCTGCTCCTCGGGAACCCTATACAGGGTTGCTATGGGTTGAAGTAGACTCAAAAGCACTTAACAACAACAACAACAAAGGTCAGTGGTTCAAGCTCACCAGCCGCCCCTTAGAAACCCTATACAGGGTAGCTATGGGTCGAGAGTTCTTGAAACAACAACAAAGGAATGTTTGGCCCATGGTAAACACTCAATAAACCTAAACTAACCCCAATACCATCAAGTCAATTCCGACTCATAGCAACCCTACACAGGATTTCCAGGACTCGTAAATCTTTACAGGAGCAGACAGTTTCATCTTCCTCCCAAGGAGCAGTTAGTAGGTTTGAACTACCAATCTTACAGTTAGCAGTTCAATGTTTAACTGGTTAAGCGCTGGCTATTATTGTTGATATTATTTGGAATAACAGAAAATACATATTTGCCATTGTTGATCTAACAAAAATCTAGCTGAATGACTAGAAAGTGACTGGGTGTATGGTGGAGATGTATAAACATTCTATTAGGTAAAGACTGAGGTCAATGGTGAATTCCGGGTTGAGGAGGAAGAGACTTCAAAAAGGTCAAAGGGCTTGGCCAAAGACAAGAGGTCAACAGAGGTGATGTGTTAGAAGTCTACATTGTCTTGAAGGACATGCAGGATCAGAAAGGAAATGAAAGAAAAAAATGAGCTAGCAGGTATAAAATGTACCAAGTTGTTCCTTGAAGTTTTGTTGGCATTCACCAAAGACTGAGAAAATCTCAGGGGTGTCTGAGGACAAGACCATCCTTCTCCTGGGTCCGATGTATATGAGTTTTTCATTGTACAGCTTATAAAAGGGGCAAATGACTCTGTTAAATGACTCTGTGTACAGATCTGAAGACACACTCAAAATGCACTGTTAAGTGCAAAAAGCCAAAGGCAGAACACAGAGTATACCTTCTATCTAAGAAAAGGAGAGCCAGTGTTTGGTGCTGGCATGAGAAAGTGCTGAAAGTATACCCACTAAATGAATAGAAGTATTTATGCATGAGGCTGGAAAGCAGACTATCAGGTGAATAGGGGTGGACGGGCAGAGTCAGAAACAGGACATTTTAAGTGTATACCTTTGCATATCATTTTGATTTTTTAAAAACTATGTGCACTGGAAAATTTGAAAATTAAAGTAGAACCAGGTGGGCAGGTGAGAACAGCACATACGTGAACAGGAGGACCGAGACAGGCATCCCGTGAAGCAGAAAGAGCCAGGGAGCTTATTGGGCAGATGGAAATGTAAGGATGGGACACAGCCTCCAGGCAGGCTGCCAGGATCCAGGGGGAGGTGAGGAAGTGATGCACCAGGAACAAAGCAAATTCCTGCCATTGGATCAGAGAAACCAGGCAACCTAAGAGCGCAGCACAAGGAGAGATGGCTTTTCTATTAGTGAAGAACCTGACCCCTCACAGATGCATCTGATTGGAGCGGATCCATGAGGAAGGTAAGACAACATCAGCTGATGACAAGAGTGAACACTTGTTGTTGTTAGGTGCCGTGGAGTTAATTCCAACTCATGCACAATAAAACGAAACACTGCCTGGTGCTGCACCATCCTCACAATTGCTGTTACACTTGAGCCCACTGCTGCACTGCTGCTGCCACTGTGCCAATCCATCTCACTGGAGGTTTTCCTCTTTTCACTGACCCTCCACTTTACCAAGCGTGATGTCCTTCTCCAGGGACTGGTTCCTCCTGACAATATGTCCGAAACATAAGAGATAAAGTCTCACCATCCTGGATTCCAAGGAGCATGCTAGCTGTACCTTTTCCAACACAGATGTGTTTGTTCTTCTAGCAGTCCATCGTATCTTAATTATTCTTCTCCAACACCAAAACTCAAATGCATCAATTCTTCTATGATCTTCCTATTCACTGTCCAGCTTTCACATGCATATGAACACTTAGAAATTTAAAAAAAATTTTTTTAATTGCTGTCGAGTCAACTCCAACTCTGCTACATAGGATTTTCAATAGCTGGTTGTTTTGGGAAGTAGATGGCCAAACCTTTCTTCTGAGGTACCTTCGGGTAGACCCGGCCAACCTTGTTAGCCTTTTCATTACCCAGGAACTTTACCTAGAAGTTAGCTTTACAACAAATTCAACAAAAATGGGAAGAGATTACTTCATTGCCAGATATGATCGTTTTCAGAATTTCAGGCTTGGAAGGGCCATCAGAAGACTATGGTCTCTTCTCCTTTGTCTTTGGGTGAGACCACAAAGTTATTAGCGATAAGAGTTATGAAGTAGTTCCATTTTTCAACAATGTCAAAAGACCTGAACAACCTTCTTTGGCAATAACTCTCATGAGATAGTTACCTGGCATTCAATGGAAGTTAAGCAATGATACTACAGAAACAGCTTTGATCACTGACCCCAATGTAACCAAGATTACCCCACACCCCCACAAAACGTCCAGACAGACATCCATAGCATGCTGAAGGCATGCGGACTGAAAGCTACTCTCTGGAGCCTTGTTACCTGCTGTTGACTGGACTCAGTTCATGGAGGTCTCTGTGCAAGAGAACAAGGCACTGCCCCATCCTGTGCCATCTTCATGACTTTTGGGACATTTGAATCCTTGTGGCTACTGTGTCAACCCAACTCTTAGAGGGTTTCCCTTGTTTACTTTAATCCTTATGTCACCAACCATGGGGTTCTTTGCTACCTATTGGTCTTTCCTGCTCATGTGTACTAAGAATTCACAGTGGAATCTTGTTAGGGTTGTTAAGTGTTGACGAGTCGGTCCTGAGTCACAGCGACCCTATGCATGGCAAAAATGAAACACTGCCCAATCCTGCACCATCCCCACTATTGTTTCTACACTTGCGCCTATTGCTGCTGTCACTGTGCCAATCCATCTCATTGGGGATCTTCCACTTTTTTGCAGACCCTCCACTTTACCCAGCATGATGTCCCTCTCCAGGGACCGGTCCCTCTTGATAACATGTCCGAAGTATGAGAGATGAAGTCTGGCCATCTGGCTTCTAAAGAGTATTCTGGCTGTACTTCTTCCAACACAGATTTGTTTGTTCTTTTGGCAGTCAAAGGTACTTTTAATATTCTCCTCCAACACATAACTCAAATAAGTCAGTTCTTTTACAATCTTCCTTATTCATTGTCCAGCTTTCGCATGCATATGAGCTTATTGAAAATATCATGGCTGGGTCAGGCACACCTTAGTCCTCAAGCTGACATCTTTGCTCTTCAACACTTTAAAAAGCTCTTGTGCAGCAAATCTGCCTAATGCAATATGTCGTCTGATTTCTTGACTGCTGCTTCCATGAGTGTTGAGCTGGAGTCTCAGTCTCTTCATTTTTGAAACAAGGATAGGAGCACCTACTCTACAGGGTTGTTGTGAGGATTAGGTAAATGAATCTATAAATAAACATTTATAATGGTGCCTGGCACATAGTAAGTAGGTGTAAACCATTAGATAAAGCTATGACCAATCATTGCAACATCGACTTACTTTCTTACATCCAATCACTGGGCAATGTCTACTTATTCCTTCTTACTAAGCTATGTGCTTAGTGATAAGATATGTTTGCTCCCAGATCTGTTAGGGCCAATTGTATGATCATAGAAATCACATAGCTTAATGAAATATCATACAATCCAGTGGAATGAGTGGGGAAACAAAGAAATGTCCTTTCTATCTGGTAAATATTTGAGGTAGATTCAGTAGTCTAACTGAATTAGTTAATTGCTCAGTAATGAATTCCAACTGTTGTGGCATTGAATCAGTTGGAAAAGGTTGGGAAAAGAAAATCTAGATGAATTGGAGGTTCTGATTGTTTTTATTTTGTTTTCACTTGGAAGACAGTGAAACAGGGTGTGGTTTAGACAACTCCAATCAGTGGATCCATGCTCCAAGGAAAATGAAAGTACATTTCTATGTTATAGTTAAAATTAAAATGTTTAAGGTGAGTATCTTTTTAAATTTTTTTCTAAGTTTTTATGGTGAATTGAGTGTTAGTTTACATGGGAGAACATCAGTTTTACACTCATCGTTTCATTGCAATGATTAAAATCTCCTCCATGCATCATCATTCAACAGTATTTGCTTTTATGCCCTCTTTTTTTTTTTTGGACGTACACGAAAAGACTTCAAGAATATATAATAATTTAAACAATCCATGGGCACATTTTGCAAGCCTGGCTCCTGGCCGCCAGCACACAGCCTCCC